CCTCAGGGTGCCGCCAACCAGACAGTGTCGGTTGGCGACCCCCAGGGGGAGAGCCTTCTCTGTCGGAGCGCCCACCCTCTGGAACGAGCTGCCCCCAGAGATCCGGGTGATTCCGGATCTCCCCTCCTTCCGCCGCGCCCTCAAGACTTGGCTGTTTCAGCAGGCAGGACTGGCCTAGGGGGTATTTTAATTGGTTTTAGCAAAATTTTAATAGAGCGGCCAATTCAAATATTTATTTTTAATTATTTTAGATTTGTATTTGGTATTTATGTGGGATTGTTTTAAACTGGCTGTAAGCCGCCCTGAGTCCTCCGGGAGAAGGGCGGGGTATAAATGAAATAAATAAATAAATAAATAAAAAAGTAAAATTCTCACCTTGGAGATTCTTGAAGCATATTACATCCCAGTCAAAAAGGTTTCTGAAGACTTCTGTTTAAAAAGACGACCCTATCAGCCTGGAAGTTTACAAAATTATTTCTAAAGTTCTGGAGTTCCATTGATTCACAGTCAGAAGCAAAGACTTGAAATAGAGATAGTTTGGGACAAAATAATTTCAAGAGTGCAGCATAAAATGATTCAGGAAGTGAAGCTACTCCCCCATCCCTCCCCCCAAAAACACCCCAAGAATTTGCTGATCTTACTTGACAAAAATCAGTGTTCATGACTTCACTACCACAAAAGCACAAGTAAAACTGGGTTTCACATGAGAATGAGAAGACTAAGCTATTGCTCACTAAGAAAGATACTAACTTTTCATCTAAATTTGCTAAAAATCACCTGGCTGATCCTGGCATGGTTGTTAAGTCTGATAGAAATCAAACACCCTTTTGGAGTGGTTTGCTTCCTCAGATTTTGATAAAGAGTTAGTTAGGTTTTGCATTGGAACAGGCTATCTGCTGGCTGAAACCACAGTGCAAGTGAATGAGGTGATTTCAAACATACAAGCAAATCTACAAATGACTGACAAACAATACATGAATATTTTGGATATTGTAGCTGGGCCTGAAGAAAGCCTGAAGAAACAACTCATGCTGGAACACCTTTAACTATAGATAATTGTCGTGCAGGAATAGGCAGCATAATATCACCAATTATAGAAATATTTGGGGCATCAATCCACTAAATATGGTGTAACCAATTGACACCATCTAAATCTAAAGGGGGCAGTTGTGTTTTTTTCACCATGCCAAATTGCAGATTGAATGATTGCTTATGAAATAAATAAACAAGCACAAAATATTGGGTTTTTTCCTTCACTCTGATTTCCTATATCAATCAGTGCCCAAACCCCAACCCCAAACCCACTTATTTATCGCAAAGTGCCAGGGCTGCATAGGGTGCCCTCAGGGGGGTGGGTGGGCATGGCCCACTGGGTGGGCGTGACCATCTCAACATCACTCACATCAGGGGTACCTGTGCGGGCATGGTGGGTGCAGGAGGGCAAAGTGCATGGGTCAGAGGGAGGCCCACTCCCTCTCCATGCTTTGTAACCAAAGCATCCTTAGCAATAAGATGGGAGACCACCAGGGGATGGCAAAATGGCCACAGGGCTGCTGGTGGCCAAGTGCTAAGGCAGGACTTCCCTCAGGCCCTCCCTCCCTCTCATTCCAATCTCCCTCCCTCCATCCTTCCTCCCTCCCTCCCTCCCCTCCTTCCTCTCTCT